ACTGCATCTTATAAAATTACTTTTTTTGTTAAATCATTTTGAATTTGTCTTAATTGATCATTTTCTTTCTGTAATATTTCTATTCGATCATTTCGATATTTTAATTCATTTGATAATGGATTCACAACTGTTTTACTTAAATCATCTGATGTTACACCAACGATTTTCTCATATGGAATGTGAATAAGATTGAGTTTTTTCGTCTTTAAAGGAAAATAGTTACAATACAATACAGACAAATGTAAATCAACTTACTTCCCATCGACCAGTTCTCTTCGCATGATTAATAAACGATACTAAAGAATCTAAATCATGTTTCAAATCGAGATTATCGTGTGTTAACTTCCATTTTTCAGCTTCAACAGTCTAAACGATAAATTAAATCAATTAAAAGATGAAAACAGAAGATGAACGCAATTTATTTACCGATACGGTCTTAGTGACATCTGATAATGAATAATTGCTCTAGAAAAACAAAAGTTGATTAAGCTAAAAAATGAAATGAAAGATTAAAAGTATGTTTTCAATTACTTGTAATGTTGCATGTGTTTTTTTTAATTTATTTTCAAGAAGTGTTACACGTTGATTTGCTTCTTTTTCTAATTCATCTAAACTTTGTAAAAGTAGACGAGTTTGAACGGATAAATCTTTAACATAATTTTCATAGACCGACAATTTTTGCTAAAAATTACATTAGTTCGAAGAAACAAAAATGAATTTTTATCCACTATTTTCAATATCTACGTTACTTTGTAACGTTCATCGATTTGAATATTTTTTTCATCAATACTGGCTAATTTAGTAACATAACGATTTTGAACTTCTTCAAATAATGTGGCAACATGTTTTACATTTAAACTACAAGCAGAACCATTACAGGAACTGTTAGTCATCGACAGAAGAGAGAGAAAAATAAATAAATATAATGATAACTAAAATAGATCTGAAAAGTAGAGAATAGACTTTTTTTGATCAATTGGTAATATTTAAAATAGAATAATGTTCATTTTGAGAAGATGAAATATTGCTACTAGTTTAGCAATTTAATGTACGTTATAACACATTAACTCGATCGAAAGTGTTATAGAAGTATGCGAACTAGCTAATTATTCAATTTATAGATGTAGAAAAAATAGAAACAAACCGAGTTAGATGCGCCAAAATTTGTTTCTTGTGAAAAACCGAAAATGTACTATTAACTTAACTTTAATTACGTATTGTTTTGAGTTAACTGCTTCATATTAACGAATCTTAATGCTTCGACATCTAACGCAGTTAATAAAGAATGTGTTATAACGTATCATTCAGTCATTTTTGGAAATGCTATGTAGATTCATAGAGTTTGACCTTCTCTTGTATAACATAGCTAGGCTGTGCAATTATCTGAAGAACCGAAAGATCTATTTTGAGATCTTGGGATAAAATCTGATATTTTTCTATATCAAACGAAATAGTCCAAAGAATTGCGTATCATTATCTCATTTTATTGTATTATATTAGCATTTGATACGTAACTGTAACGTAACAACCTTAGTGATACTTGTTTTGCTGTTGATTTATCGGTTTTTTATTTTTGTCAGAACTCATACAACATTTGGAAAAACTAGAGTTTTTCCATTTTATTTAATTACTCGAAATTAACGATAAATTTTCTCAAGATTTTCGGAATCTTAATTTCATATCAAGTAAATCTTCTCATTTCGACTCTGATCATCAGCGAAGACATATCCTGAATATCATATATTTGAAAAGTTTTAGATTGTAAACTTTTCTGCCAACACTGGAATATATTATAGTTCTTTGTTTTACAAAATCGCAATGCTTAAGCAATTTTTGTTCGATGTCGACTGTTAGATGCGTTTGAGAAGTTATCTGGTTAATGTTATCAATATTATGAAAGAATGAGCTTGAGGATTCAATCGCCAGATCTATCGTGGATTTCTCTATTGTGAGATGCTCGATAATAGTGAAACATGAAGACATCCATAGACGCTTACAGACAGCACACAAACATCTACATAGAACTAAGTATCTGTACTCTATGAATGTGCCGTCTGCCGTCTTCCTATTTTACTATAATCCTCGAGATTCTTCAGATAATGAGATTTGTAGTCTTCAGTCAAACTCTGACTATTGTATTTTCTACTAAAAATTTTATAATCCAGTTTTATATTCAGAGAAAAAGCAAACTTTTGATCATGAAAAACCACGCAACAATGTAATGCGAGCGATTATCTTTGTTATGCGTTTTTGTATACACGAATTCTAATTAGTTATGATTTCTTACAATATTATTCTACGTAGAAATAATACAGGATCCTATCAAATTCAAGCATAAAATATCAAAGATGAAGAAGAACAAGATGACCAAGTAAGAAGAAAGTAGATTTACTGAAAAAAGGCTGGATATAGATATCATGAGATATGATGGAAGTCACTGAAACTCGTTTGTATTTAGGAGTTGACATCTGAAATGGGTTCATGATGTTCAACACCTACGAGGACCGAACGAACTCCAGCAATGAAAGGAAAATGTTTGCACTTTATCGTCATTTCAAAAGTAACTCATTAAATGTCTTAAACTTTTATCTTATTTTCCCCCTTCTTTTTGTGTGGACACGAAATTAAATGAGCTCGAGAAAAAGAGATATTTGAGCTCGGTGTGTTTAATTGGCTTTAAAATGAGAAAAATGAGCTCGATTGTAATATAATTATATTTAACATATTTAAAAGATCACGGAAATATCATTCTTTCGGTTCCGATTGACAAATTTTTAAAGAAAAATCAGGTAAAAGATCTCGGTTAAGAAAGGTAAGTTTTTTATGACAAAATTATTGATTAGATCACGAGAAAAAATCTGATTAAGCTTATGCTAACATTAACATATTTTAGATCTCGCAATATTTGAGCGCATAAACTGTCTGTATTTTCCTTCTCATCTAATTTATACTAGTTTTCTAATAAATGTTCAGATTCATGTATTTAACAAAAAAAAAATGAAAATGGACAGAGAAACACTCGAACTTGTGTGATGAGATACTATCATTAGTATCAATTAGAGAAATGTGTATGCTAATATAAAGAAGAATATAAATTGTCAAATGATGTGGTATGCTTCTTTGATGATACGTACATTTCTAGTTACACTGTAATCTTTAATTATTTTCATTTTTAGAGAAAATCGACTATAAAATCCCTGAGGATTTTCAAATTTCTAGAAAAAATCCTCCCCGATTTTCCAATTTTATAGAAAATGTTGATTTTCTAGAAATAATTTCCAAGATTCTTCTTTAATCATCGTTTTGTTTTACATTCTTGAGTAAATATAAGTGCGAATATTTTCACACTTTGAATAACTTCGAATTTTTTTCCTTCTGAACCATAATCCGTCGAGGGAATTATTTATAGAAAATCAATGTCGATTTTCTATAAAATAGAAAATCCTCGGCATTTCATATATGGACTTTCTTAAAATCAACGGTGATTTTCTATAAATAATTTTCAAGATTACAGTGTAGTAAATATGTTGATGTTCTTTTCCAACTCTAAATACATTTCGACCAACTAGATCGCTACATCTTTGTACGATATGTACAATTTTCAAAATTTAAATCATATTTTCTGGTCATACAGATGAAGCAAGATATATTACATGCTTTTTCTCATGATCTTTTACATGCTTTTAGCATAAAAAGATTTCGTTTTCAAGAGCTTTTGCATGTTTTTTTTTACTAAATTTTGCCCATCAGGATCAAAAGTATGTTATTTCCGTGATCATTTCTCATTTTGTCTATTATTTAAATAAATGAGAGTTTTAAGCTCGAAAAGTAATTCATACTCTAAAAAGATATAAATGAGCTCGATTAATTTTATTTTTGTCAATAAAAAGAGAGAAATGAGCTCGGTAATTAATTTAACACAATTAATTAATGATTTTGTCAATAGCAAAGTATATTTAATCAAAGTTTAGTTCAACGAGACATTATGAAAGGATAGATTTTTATTGAGAATGTGCCGACAGGACATGAGTGCAGACTTATATAGGTATTTGAGCATAAAAACCTCATCAATTTATAGAAATTAAAACAAAGACTTGAAAATGGAAAAGTATGCTGTAGAAAATGTTCATTCAGTTTCATAGCCACTTTGAATAATAAGGGAAAAAACGTGAAAAGAAAGTTAAATTAACTTTAACAAAATACGGAATATTAGAGAAAAACTATTTGTAATCTAGCACTTTTTTTGTTCCAGAACTATTTTTTCTTATTAAATATGTTACACAAAATCATTAAATTAATTACCGAGCTCATTTCTTTCTTTTTATCGACAAAATTAAACTTAATTGAACTCATTTATATCTTTTCAGAGTATAAATTACTTTCTGAGCTCAAAACTCTCATTTATATAAATAAAATATAATTATGCACAATCGAGCTCATTTTTCTCATTTTTAAAAAAGTTAATTAAACACACCGAGCTCAAATATCTCTTTTTTCCGAACTCATTTATTATTTTATCCTTTTTCTATAATATATTATTTTACCTTCATTCTACACTAATAACAATGTGGGTGTTATTAAACTAATCAATATTAACGAGCGTCAAATTTTCTCTTTTATCTATCAAAAGTCACTTAAGTAGTAGACACTTAGACACGCTTCATTTAAAACAGATCTGTATTTTCTGACAGTTACTAATCAATAAACATTTCTTCTCTTTAATGATACAATTTATCCTTCACATTCTTTTACTTAAATAAATACTTTGCTTAGTCATTTCTACTACAATGGCAATGTACCTTTAATCATCCACTTTTCGCCTAGTGTCCCTATCAGAGTTGCCAGATGTTTAGGTCAGAAAAGCGGAACAAGAAAAGTCGAGAAAGCGGAAATTTTTTTCAAAATATGGAAAAAAAGTGGAAACGCATTTTTCACCGTATTAGTTCATTTTTCACTAAATGCAAAGAGTATCAAAAAGATTTTCTAGCACTTTATAGTGGTTCCACTTAAGAAACACAAAAGAAGTACAAAACACAATACTAACTCCTAGTTTGAATCGATATTGGCTTTTTGTGGATGCGCGTTTTTTATCAGCCGTCATAGATTTCAAGAGTTATGTATGGAAGATTAAAATTTAATGCAAAAGTTTCTCGCCGACGACAGCACTCAATGGTTAAGATTTTCTGACCGAATTGGCTTTCTTGAAGATTTAGCATTTCACTATTTTTCACACTCCCTTTCAGCAGCACTTGAGACAAGTTAATGTTTTTCTGTTAGCACTCACTTCCGAGACAAATTTTTAACTTCATTCTCAACACAGTGCGCATCTGTTTTATAAAAGTTGCAAAAACATTGTTTTGACAGGTCATTCGGCCGTCATTTTTTATGAGAAAATGTAAAAATCTTCATTGCAGAAAAAAAGATAAAAACAAAAAATCCTCGAAAAGCGGACACTTTGCGGCAAAAACTACAGAAAACGGAATTTGTCCGCAAAATGTGGACTATCTGACAGCTCTGGTCCTTATCTGATTTACTATGAATCTTGGCCGTAAGATTATTTCGCCGAACAATTGAATGATCTCCCTAATCCCAAAAATACAGCTGTCTAAAAGACTGTTCCTCTCGAATAAAATCATCAACATGTGATATTTATTGTCACACTTGTAAGAATCCGTTAAAACTTAAAGAGAAATTATCAATAACTGCTTGGTAGATAACAAATTCATGTGAATCAACTTTTGAGGCAGATGGTCAAGCATTTTCCATTATCGAAAACTCATCACAATTCGTTTTAATCTAATGTCAGTGGTCATGGTAAAACCTTTATAAATAACGAAAATCAAAAGTGCATTACCGATTTGATGAAAAATTATTTAAATGAAATTTTATGCAAAATTTGAACTTTTATAGAGTAAATCTGATTTTAATGATAATTATCTAAACAGTAACTATCCATTTTTGTTTTACTTTTTATTATCCAGTAAAATTATTAACTATTTTTTTATACTAAAACGCGACTAAATTTCCATTATGGCCGTTCAAACGTTTGTTTATTTTCCAACTTATTTTGGCATGATTATGTAATAATAACCGGAATTCTTCTGCTAAATTTAATTGTTCAATCTAAATGTTTATATCTTTTTAGATTTTTCTGTATTAATCAGTCGCATTATCTATTTCTAATTCTAATTCAAAATAAAAACGTAACAGAGAGAATTAGATCTTTGTTTCAATTTAACATTTTTAAACTTCACATGAACTATTTACACTCAAACGTCATTGATTTATCAGAAGAATTATATCAAATATCAACAACATCTATTTTTCTTTGTTCCCTTTTATTTTAATCGAAATGGTTTATTTAACTTAACTTATTTTTTTTTTTGTCACTTTCTTTTCTATCTCTTCCTTACAACATTTATAAATTAATTTAATCATGACTACTTCAAAGAAGAAGAAACAGACAGTATCATTGCAAACTTTTCTGGCAACTGAAAATAATTTTGTTCCAAAATTGGTTACCGTTAAAAGTACGAAAGAAGCATCGTGGTCTGATATTGTTGATCAAAGAGAGGCAGACATTGAAAGTAAGCTCTTTACGAAATGAAAGAGAAAAGAAATGATAGTGTTTTAATGTCTATTTCGTTTTTTTTATAGTTGTGGACATCAGTAGGCTACCAACAGCGCCGAGACGTACAACAGACATCGATCTTAGTGAAGTGCCAAAAGAACCACCATTTGTTGCACATGTGGGTAATTTATCATTTGAAATTGGTGATGATGATTTAAAAAAAATATTTGCAGATTTACTAGTAAGTTTTTTGTTTTTTTAACATAAATAATTTTAAAATCTACACATATTTCTATAATTTATATTTTAGCCGAAATCAGCTCGTGTGATTAAAGACGGTGCTCGTTCTCGTGGTTCTGGATTTGTTGAATTTGAAACACGTGATTCATTATTTGAAGCATTAAAACGAAATGATAAAGAATATTTTAGTAGAAAAATTCGAGTATCTGTATCAGAAAAAAATGATCAACATGATAGTAGAAGCAATTTTCAACGTGGTATATAAAAATAAATTTGTTTTTAATGAAAAAAATCTTAGTTTTTTTCTTCGTTTAAGGTGGTGGTGGTGGTAATCGAGAAGAAAATACTAAAATGAATGGAGATTGGCGGAGAGGGCGTAAGTCAATTTTTATATCATAAGAAGAATATCATTAATTGTAGTTTTATTTTAGAAGAACCTCGAGATGATGATAGAAATCGTGATGATGATCGAAGACCACAATACGATAGACCAGGGGGTGGACGGCGAGATGATAATCGTCGTAAGTCTATGACAATGTGTTATTCAATCATGATAATTATTCGTCTACTGTTAAATTGTCTATTTTAAGAACGTGACAATTTTGGAGATCGTCATGGATATGTTTCACATCAACGACGAGAAAATCGTGATGATCGTCCTCGACGTTTTAACGATGGAGATCGACCATCAATGGATAGACCAAGATATAGTGGACCTTATAATGATTCAAAGTAAACAAGCAAAAATAATTGATTACTTTTCAACAATAAAATTATTTGTTTTTGTTCTATTATAGAGTAACGACTAGTGGTAAGCTTTTCGTCTAGCATTTTATTCAAACTTTCCTGTTGTACTTTATCTTGTGTTTACTCATAATTGTAAAGGTGTAAAAGTGGTACACTTTTTATTTTATTTATTGATTTAGATGATCCTGAACGTGAAACTCCTAAAGAGCGTCCAAAATTAAATTTACAACCGCGCACCAAACCATTGCTTGAAACAGAAAATTTATCGGTTTCTTCTTCGTCCATAAATGTATCTGATCACAATGCTACAACTGCCACAGAGGATACAAATCTGATAACATCCCCATCTGATCTCGTAGAAGAACATCAGTCAGAAGAATCTAGACAAGAAGAACAAGAAACAGGATCAGACATCGTTAATACTCGTGAACATCATCATCAAGCCTCTTCATCGAGTAATCGTGGTGCCTCGATATTTGGTGGAGCTAAACCAGTTGACACAACTGCCAAAGAACTTGAAATTGAACGAAAACTAAGAGAAACACAACTGATACAAGCTGCAGATCGAGATCAAGATGAACCAAAAAGGTAAATAGAGTTTCTGCTGTTCAAACGAAATAACTGGAAAATAGAACTATATCAATAAGATAATAATCACTAACAACATCTGATTACTTTTCTAAAACTTGTTTTTTTTTTGTTTAGATCTTATCGTGACGACCGAGATGATCGCGAGTAAATTATCTTTTTTTTATCGAGAGTAGCTAAAACATTGTCACAAACAGTATTTTGCAACACAGCCTTGTTTACACTTTGCTCACAGTCTATTTTGTCGTTTTAGTCGACCAAGATATGGAAGTCAATCATTACATACTGATGACCAGCGACGTAATAATGATAGACATACTGATGATAGACGTAATAATGGTCAGAAATATTTCAATCAACTTTTTTGTGCAGTAACTTTTTGATAGTTTTCTAATCGTATTGTTTGTTCTCTGTTTTGTAGCTGGAAGAAATCGTGGATATGGTAATTTTGATCGATCTGGTGGTGAACAATATGAAAATAATAATCGTCGTCAAACAAATGATTATGATCGTGATCGTGGTTATCAGAATCATGATCGTGATCGATATCAATCGAACAGAAATGGCGTAAGTTATTTGTTTATTGAACAATATTTTGTTTGACTTGAACTGGTCAAGATATTGTATTTTACATAGAATATTTGACTATTTTAGGGAGATCGGGATAGAATGGATAAAGATAGGGATCAACGACGTGGAGGTGGTAGTAGCGGAGGAAATTACTCTTCAAGAGAAGGTCAAGGTGGTGATAGACCGTCGTACAATTATCGTTCACAATATAACAATAATGAGCGAAATCAATATCGCGATAATAACAGTCGAAATGGATATACCAGAGAACGCGATAGAGAATATAACAATGATGAGACGAACAATTACTCGAGAAATGATGATAGAAGAAGAGAAAGTGGAGGAGAACGAAATAAAGATTATTCAAGGCAGCCAGGTATGTTTATCTATTTAATATTAAATAAAAACAATGCAAAAAGTAGTGTTAGTTAAAATTTATTCTAAAAATTTATTCTAAAATGGTCTCTAGATGAAAATAAACACTTTAATACATGAGATATGCTAAAAAATGTTTTTAATTAAGGCCCACCAAGAGAACGTTATAGTAATGAAACAAGTTCTCGGCACTCGGATGAACACAGTCGTCATCCATCCTCCAGTGAAGTAGCGAATAATCGAGCGACATTTAACAACAACAACAATACGAATAGCGGCAACGGAACCGTTTCGTCGACGAAGAATATTAGGTGTGTTTTTGTAATAGGTTTGTCATCTATTAATTCTTTACGGCTATTTTTCTTGTTTCAGATTTAAACCTCGACAAGTGACAGCAGCCGATCAAGAGACAAATCGAGTAAGCTTTTTCATCAAGTTTATTTTGTTTATAATGTTCGAAAAATATACAAATATTTAAATTTTGCACGCAATATTCGGTTGATTCACTTTTTCTCCTGCTGAAAGATAGTGTTATATTCCTAGAGATTTCAAGTACAAATAAAGACCCTCTAGGAAACTGAGAGTTTTTTTTCTTTATTTATAAATTGAGTATATGATCTAACGGTTAACAAAAAAAGTGCTTTCTTTCGTGATTCTTCGTCAATTTTTTGGGGTAGTTTTATTTAAGACAAAATAAAACTGCCCCAAAAAATCGATGAAATCCTTAGTAACAGCATCTCGTGGTGGTTAGATCAATATAAAGGAAGTAGAGCTAGTAGAGTTTGCTTACACGAATGGTTACTGTGTTGAAGTCTGACGTAAATATTGATCACTGTAATCTTAGCAGAATCAAGTTAGATGCTTTTTGTTCATTCTTTATTTGTTTTGCTTTTGAGTAGTTATTTATCGACTCTGAAGATCTTGATAAACAAATAGAATAATGTTGTCGAATAATTCTTGAAAATCTTTTCTCATTTTCTTTTTCAGTTAGAATTATGCAATAAATTTGATTTATTAGATGAAGATGCAGATGCAGCGATTATATCTGATGAAGCAGATGATGACGAACGTCATCAAGATGATGGTGATACAATAAAACATCAACGAAATGTTTTATCAACGACTCACTAATGTTTTCTTTATTGTGTTGTTGTTTTTTTTAGAAAAAAGAATATTTTATTATTATTATTATTTTTTTGTTTCTTCTCGCATCATACACGATTACAGACTTTTTTGTCTCTACTACTATTTTTGATTATTATCCCTTGTTTATTATCCTTGGTTTGTTTAGTATATATGTTTCATTCCCCGTGAGAGTAGGTATCTTCGTTTGTTTCTCTGTTCGTGTTGCACATTAGTATGATGGATCTACCGCTTTTTTGGTCCATCTCAACCTGTTAGGATGAATAATCCACCCTTTTTTTTTCTTCAGTGCAAGTGTAAAAATAACTTACAAATTGTTATCTATGAACTATTTTATGTAAGTGAACAATTATTTTTCTGTGAGCTTTACGGACTAAACGATATGCCAGTATGTCCTTTCTTTTTGTGAATGGATTTAAATCAAAAGATGATGGTAAAACTCTGATTTACTTTTTCGAATTTTTATGCGATAACAATCGGTACTTTTTCCTTAGTTTCCCAAATATATTTCATATAAAAATAAATTCTTTTTTCATTAAGTAAATTTATATGCTGATTGTTCCTTTCTTTCTTCCCTAGATATAGCAATGATTATTTTCTTTTGCTAGTGTTTTATAGAAAAATATTTCTCTGATAATCAATCCTTGTCGTCTTTACACGCTACTGGAATCTGATCCGTGTTTGTTGTTCCTTCAATTTGTTTTTTTTTTATTGCTGTTTAAAGGTTGTATAATGATTATTTTTCGTACCCCTACCCCCTCCCCCCTCCCCTCCGTGCATTTCTCTTAAACAACAAAAAAAGATTATATCTACTATTTGTTGTTTTTGTTATTATTGTCTTTAAAAAATTCAAATATGGAATGTTTTTTTTGACATTGCCTAACCACATTTATTGTTTTTTTTCCCTCTCTCTCTCGTCCTCGAGATGGGAATCTGGAGCTTTATCATCGTATCTTTACCGAACACACATACATATGTGGAAGAAAATTTGGCCCGTACTTTCTTTCGCTTGTTATTATTCTTTTTTTTTCTCTCTTTTAATTTTGCGCTATGTTTTTTTTTCAAGGAACTTGTTTATTGTTAAGTTCTTTTTTTTTTCAATAGCGCAATGTTGTCTCTTGTTTTTTTTTTTTGCTCAAAAATAAAATATTAACGAATAAAAGTTAAATGATCACTTTTTCTTTTAACATTTCTTGATTTTGTTTCGTTTTTTGTCATTCATATGGCTTTTGCGTATATGTAGGATGGTGTTGAATGTGGTGTGTCTATTATTTGGCCTGTTACATGTTTTAAAAAGAAAAAATTGCACTAACATTCTTTTTTTTGACATATCTGTCCTGTAAAGCAGTCAGACTGTACGTAGTTGACTAATCTAACGAAAGATAGACGTTTTGTAGTCATCGATTTCGTGTAAGATGAAGTAATTATTACGATATTTGAGGAAATTGATTCTCATTTATGAATAAGGTTTTTTTATTCTTAATCGGCAGCCGATACACAACACGTTGAGAAAAGAATTAGTGAATACGTTTTTTTTATTAGTAAATCGAAAATATCATACAATCATTAGAATCATTTCTATCAAATATTTGTGCATTTGAGTTTTATAATATCTTACCTTCAAAGGAGAAAGTATGTATATGTTTTGCTAACAATGATCATGAACAATCAAGAATTAAAACTATTTTTGATGAAATGAAATTGATATTTTTTAAGCAAAATGGAAAAAAAATTAGAAGAAAAATTTAATAAAAACAGAAGAAAATTAAATCTGTTATATCGATACTACTGGGTCACTGTCAAACGTTTTTACTACTCAAATGTTCTATAGTGATTATTTGTCAACAGCTAGTTAGGTATGTTCACATATAAAGGGTGTTCTAGAAGTTCTGAAGTAATTTTAAAATGCATCATTCTAAAATTACTTCAGAACTTCTAGAACACCCTTTATACCAGTAGAGAGATGTAGCAAAATGATATCCTAATAGAACAACAAAATAATGCTCCGGATTGAAATTTGATTGCATGAAATGTATAATTTTAAAAAAATGAAGTGTAAATATCGTATGAATAAAGATATCTTGATTTTTTTGAGCAGTTTTTTTTATTCAGTTAATATTAGTTTTATAGTTATGTTGATACACGACAAAAGAGTTCAATTTTTACAGAATAAATGTCAACGTTGAACGCCTTACATTTTGCTAATGCATATTTTTTTCTTTTCTAGTTGTTAGATGATGGATTACATAGTTCGAATGCGTTAAATGTACCAGTTAATTAAGAGAAACATGGTAATGCATGAGCGAATAGATCTTAAAAGACTATTTATAATAAGGTATCGTTTGAAGAGCCGCTACTCACAATCTGTATAGATGAACCTTGTATGGTATGATGTTGTCTTCTCTTTTTAGTATTTATCACAAGAACTCGTCAGATCTTAACAAACTATCGTTAGGTAAATATTCTCAATTCGGACGCACTGACAGTATGTGTAGGATATAAATCTGTATGTCCATTCTTATTTTTCTATATTTCTGTAATTTATATCATCTTAGTATTTTCTTCATCCTGATGTTACATTCTTGAACTTTTTGGAAAATGTTTTTTCACCATTGTCTTGCTGAGAGTCTCAGAAGTCGAATGAAATCAAAATTTTTACAACAAGTTTTATTCATAACATTTTCAAATGGTTTTATAAATTGTATATGTTAAGTACGTAAAACAAAACTACAATAAAACAAAACAATAATACGTTTATCTAACTTTGTCTTTGCTAGTGGACGAATCAACGTGACATCAAGTCATTTGTGTCCAGATTTTAAATTGAAAGTATGTGTATAAATAACATTTTTATTGTATTTAATGAATTTAAATTGGAACCATCATCACTCACTCTACATAATTCTCTTAGATTTACGAGAGCGGTGAAAACAATCTGCTCGTAGCAATGATCCAAAAATCCAAATTTTTAGACTTAAAAACCTGAGAATGACGGTAGTAAAGCGCACTGATAACCCAGTTCTATTATCTTCATAAATCATTCTCATTTCTAATTCGTTTGATTTTAGTTATCATTGTGTGAACATGATTTATGTGAATAATGCTGGTGTTAATGATATACTTTATAGAACAATCAAAAGATTATATATAATTCGTATAAGAGAAAGAAATATATGATCTATTACGTTTATTAGCGGATTATTATATAAATTAAAACAAAATTTGTATACATTATCAAAATATTTTGGTTTTCATTTTTATCAAATTTCAAATATATTCTTATTGATATTATAAATAATCTTGTACCATTATCGATTGTATTTATTGATGAAAAATATGATTTAAAAGATCATGAAATATCATATTTAAACGACAAAAATTGTTTCCAAAACAAAAAAAAACATAATAATTTTAGAGAAAACTATTATTATGGAATTCTTACAGAACCATCATTTGTGTCCAATATTTACCAACAACTAATAATGATGTTAGAGTAAGTGGCGTGCAGAATCATTCACATTCAACCGCCACTCTTCTTGGTTGTCCAACTATTCTCACAGTTTTGTTAGACTATTCTATCCAATTGATATGGTTATCAAAATCATTCCATCACAAAATCCATTCTCGAACCACCTTTCACTTTCTTAAACTTTCACTACTCGACTCTCGTATAAAACACTATTATGTTCGATTTTATAATTTTTGTTAAACAGAGTATCTATTTTTGATACGAGTAGTCATGTGTTAAACTGTAAAATCATAAAATCGAATTATATAGTGAATACGGACAATAATATAACGATCGAGATATACATAGTTCTCTGCTACGCGTATGCAATATACCATTTCACAGTACTGACCAAAATTATAGGTTCACCTTTATTTTTAATTTTTCTCCTCGACCATAATAGCTAGAACAAATGTGAAAAAAGATTTGAAGAACTGAAAGAGTTTATAATCCGGTGAGATGCATATGAAAATTCCTGCAAATCAGGTCTGTGGAAAACCAAGATTTTAGTAAATCCCAAAAAATCAAGTCCCGCAATTCCAACGAAAACTTTTTGTAAATAGCCCATTTGTGTAGAGCAAACATTTCTGGACAAAACTAGACGTCGCCGAACTCTCTACGACGTTTTTACATCGAACTGCATTCAATTTACGAAAGGCCCCTCCACGTCACAATCAGCAAAATCGCTAGAAAAAGAGCAAAAATGATAGTGAAAATGACCGAGGGACCTTGCGTAAATTGAATGCAGTTCGATGTAAAAACGTCGTAGAGAGTTCAGCGACGTCTAGTTTTGTTCAGAAATGTTTGCTCTACACCAATGGACTATTCACAAAAAGTTTCCGTTGGAATCGCGGGACTTGATTTTCTGGGACTTTCTAAAATCTGCCTCCACAGACCTGGTTGCAGGAATTTTAATGGACTTTTCATATGCACCTCCCCTGGTTATAAACTCTTTCAGTTGTACAAATCTTTTTTCCCATTTGTTCCAGCCATTATGGCCAAGGTGAAAAATTAAAAATAGAGATGAACCTATAATTTTGGCCAGTACTGCATAATGTTTCTAATACTTGCGTAGCACATCAGAAAAGTAAATGATTTATACAATGAATTTTCCCTGTGATTTCATTCCTCCTTTCAATTAGAATATTCGGTTATACTCTCTCTCTCTCTCTATCTGTCTCTTTCTCTCCAAATACTACTAATCTCTCTCAAGTCTTTAATTTTGATCGTGTTTAATTCTATTATATTTTACTTTAGGCTATATACTTTATATTTCTTGTCTATATGTAAATGTACTGTTTTATATATTTGGTATTTTACAAAATTATCTATATCGTTTTGTTTTTTTACCTATACTACTCTTACTACTATTGTTATTACTTTATATTTGCAAGCAGCATTTATTCTGTAAAAATATTTTTTTCAAAAAAAATAATAAAATTTTCTTTTTTTCATACGGTTTATTTATAATATATTCACAAATTATGTACATGTTATTAAGAAAGAAAAAAAATTTCGTTATTTTTATTCCAAAATGTTGTTATCATTCTGGTTCGTAATATTTTTGATGAACAAATTTCAGCATGGCTAAGTTGTGTTTAATGTTTTCTTCCTATGGCTCCATCGTTATAATAATTAATATGATGATGATTTCGCATACTTTCGACGCTTTTTTATGAAATTTTCGTGTCGTGTATTATATTATTTTTTTCTTTTGTTACTCAGACGAATTCTTATAAACGAAAAATTGGTTGTTGTTATTGGCATGCACAAAACTATTAAAACTACAAATTATATATAAATTGTATTTTCTTAGTTTTTTTCGTAAGAATTGTCTATATATTATATGTCTATAAATACATATATACTAATTTATGTAAATTTCTTATATATTTTGTATTTTGCTTTCCATTTGGTGAGATATCTGTCAGATGGAAGAGGTAAGGTTCAATACTAACCTGCGATACAGGACTCTATAAATTTAAATTTTTGAAAAGAAAAAATCAAAAGAAAATGAATCTTCAAATGACAACATTTTTGAGCAAATTTTAACTCAAAATATATTGTATGTATTAGTTAACTGGTACATATAATTCTTCATTTTTGTTGTTGCATTTGTAAGAGAATAATATTAAGATTTTTTTTTGTATAAAATTCTAAGAAAGAAGTGGATGTATGTAATTTTATATCTAATTTTAGACACGTGCATGTATATCTAGACGACGAAATATTATCAGAAGTATTACGATCAGTAGTTCCAGCTATACAATTTTCAATGAGCTCACCAACAGCCTTCAAACATGAACGTGATAGTCGCGAACGTGACATTGGCGAACGTCGTTTTACACGTAACAGTCGTTCTCGATCTCGTTCACCTATTTCAAGTAGTGTTAACATTAGATCAGAATCTAAATCACCATCATCAACAAAAATTAGACGTAAAAGAAAAGAGCCAAGCGATCGTGAAGACCGAACTCAAACAAAGACCACATCCTCTCAAAAACACCATCGTCATAAATCAAGTAAAAATGACCGTGAACAGGAACGAGTTCGTTTAGCGGCAGCTGAGAAAGCTCGTTTAGCAGCTGCTGCACAAACAGCTGATTCCGGTGATGAAGGTTCAGTTAGTTTATCTGAATCACATGGTGAAATGTCGGAAAGTGAGATATCAGAACAAGAGTTATCATCATCAGAAAATGAATCAAATGATGAAGAAGGAATGATTGAAACACGACGTTCCTCGTCAAAGAAAAAACATCGAACATCAAAGAATTCATCGAATAATCAACAAAAACAACAGCAAAATTCTGGAAATCAACAGAGAGGAAAAGGTAAAGGCATCTTAATCAAAATTCACTATTAAAATATTCATAAAAATCAATAGGGAAAACTGTTGTCTATTATAGTAACGCAAGAATTTGGTCGACAGACATCCTTGGTAAAACAAAATGGTAAAAATATCAGACGTTCTCAGAAATATTGTATCTTGAATAAATAATTAGAATAGATTTTAACATAACACCATTGATCTAATGTAAATAGACGGTCAAGTTTAAGTTAGTGTGAACGGTACTAAAAAGTATGAAATTCATTTCTCTGTATATCAAGAATTTGCCAAACGTCAATTTTGCTTTGTGAGATAATTTTATTCCAGAGTAGAAAAACTTTTCATGATTCATACTACTTAGGTATCCTAAATTTATAATGTAATATTTTACACATTCATAGAGTATTCAAAAAAGCATATTTTTTAAATTGTACTACTCTACTCTTTAGGATTGATTTTAAAGATATTTTTGAACATATTTTTTCATTATTACTAGTATTTCGATTCAAATATTTTATGGTCAAAAAATAGCTCAAATACCAAAGATTTTTCACTAACTAAATATAGAATAAGTTCACTTTCATTTTTTTTCGTCCAATGTCCGTATGAATATCTGCTGTGCTCTTCATCAACGGCTATTGAACGAATTTATATGCAATCTAACATCAACTATTGCCACTTCTAGGTACTCAGTTGATCATTAATTATTTACCATCATCATTGCGTGAATCGGATTTTTATCAATTATTTACTCGTTTGGGTCCCGTGAAATTGTGTAAACTCGTTACCGATCGTTCTACTGGTCATAGTATGGGTTATGGTTTTATTGAATATGCCACATCGGAAGATGCTGTTAAAGCTATTGATAAGTATAATGGATATCGAATTGAACATAAAACATTGAAAGTTAGTTATGCACAGCCAAAATCCGGTGGAACATTGTCTAGTGGTTCTTCATCACAAACCAGTGGACCAATGATTAAAAATGCAAATTTATATCTCACAAATTTACCTGAAGAATATGATGAACAAACATTGGAAAGAATATTTTCAAAATATGGTGATATTGTTAAAACAAAAGTACTGAGAGATCCTCGAACAAGAATATCACGAGGTGTAGCCTTTGTTTTGATGGCTAGTAAACAGTATGCTGAACGAGCAGTAGAAGCTCTTGATGGTTATATACCATCAGGTTCTCGTGAGCCAATTAGTGTTAAATTTGCTGATCCAAAAAAAATGAATGCTGGTCAAACATCATCATTACCCATTCCAGGCTATTTAGGAGGTCTACCATCACAATTAGCACACGATATGCTGGATTCGTATTATCGTGAAATGTTGTCTCCGTCTCCACCTTATCATCGATCAACATCATCCTACGAAACATCAGCATCGAGATCTCGAGGTGGTACAAGTAGTTTAGGTAAGTAAATCAATTTAGTTCACACAATAGAAGAAACATTTTCTATTTGTATTTTATTTCAGGTTTACCACGATCATATAGTACAAGTCGTTATAGTCCAAATGCATTAGCTGCAGCTGTTTCGAATTTTACGGGTAGTGGTCGAAGTAGTAGTGGTAGTACAACTAGTGCATTGGCAGCAGCTGCTCAATTAATTTCTAGTGGTTATCAAGAGGCAATTGATCCAAATGGTTTTGTTATTTATGCCTTTGGTTTACCTCATGACTGTGATGAAAATGATCTAGAAGAATTATTTCGATGTAAAAATGATTTTGATATTTATAGAGTTTTTATTGTTCGAAATTATACAACAGGTGAATCAAAAGGATATGCATTTATAACAATGAGAAACTATGATGAAGCATGCTATGCAATTGAAAAACTCGACGGTAGCACATTTAAAGGACGAACATTACAAGTTAGATTTAAACGATAAATCTATCATGCAAAACATTTTATATTTCATTCAAAATCATCTGTTTCTTTTTGTTTTTGTCGTCATTTTTTTCATTTCTTGTTTCTGTTTTCTTTTTTTTTTGTTCAATGTGCAATTTAACTTGGTTCTATTTGTAAAAGGAAATTGTGTGATGTATACCACGAGAAGAGAATATCCTATTTGAGTGAAAGAAAGGGAATCGCTATCATTTTGCTTCTGCTTTATGATTTATTTGTATGAAACATTGGTTTTTTGTACATAATTATTTTTTTCTCTCTTGACTCCTTATTAGGCTACATGTATTTAAAACCTATGTTTTGTGTATACTTACAAACCTTACATCTCATCGTTTTATTTTCGTTTAACGAAGATCTGAATATTGTTTACTTTTATTTGAATATAATTTACACACATAAATTCCATTGTGCTTTAGTTTATTTTTACCACTATAAAAACGCAGGTGTGTACTCTAGAATGTTCTTGAAACAATTGTTTACATTATATAAATGAATGTGACCATTTGTCTATTTTTCAGAAGTAAATTTACTTGTAAATACTTGATTTTTTTTACTTGACAAATGCTTGTTGAATAAACTTACAAGCACATTCATTAAGTATTTTGAAACAATATAAAGCCAAGTATTATAATTTTGGAGACGTACTTATAAAAAGGTCATGACAAGTGAGTAATTTTGTACATAAAACTTGACAAGTCCTTATCAAGTATATTCACTAGGATAGGAGTTTAATTATTAAACAAGATTTATGTAGAGTCGAATATAACACTATTGAAATATTTCAATAGAACTATGTCCAATAGAGATTGTATGCGTTTGTAAATCTAATTGTGCTTGTATATTTTTTTTCTTTTTATTAAGTATCACCGAGTATATAAGGAAATGTTCAGCAAGTTATTTATTGACAAAAGAAATCTGATTATATATGTACTGCTTTTAGATTTAGCAATTTTTCATAGATACCTACGCACTCATTCAGTTTAAGTTATACGAATAAGAAAACAGAAAATCGTCTATTGCATAAACGAATCGACATTACACCTTTTTTTAAAAGGAAATAACTCTGATTCATGAAAGTTTAAGAATATATCAATGCAGAGGATATTAGAATATAGTCTAATGTACACAGATACTTTCATTAATCATTCATCGTCTGAAAGATATTCGTAACAAAAAAGACTTTTTTAAATCTCTGCATTACCAGGATGTGAAGCAGTGTTTTGAGTGAGGACAACACAGGATCAGATTTTATCTACTTTTTATCCATTATTTTTTCTAGATTTGAAATGAGTCCATCATCTAATTATGCTGTATAGTGTAGTTTAGTTATAAAAATCATTTAGACAGAGTTAGGTATATGCAATTATATATGGAAATTTGAAGATTATATTCGAAAACTTTAAATATTCTTTTGTTTTTAAACAATGAGAATGTGTAACATTTACTTTTTTTTACATTCAAATCTTGTGTTCTCTACATTTTTAAGTTTATTTTAATTTTTTTCTTTTAGATTATTGACAACGATTTTCGATATTCTTTCATTTAATCTTGTCTCTTGTGAAATAGACAATTGCTCTATTCTTGTTTTGATTATTTCTATTTTATTAATTTCATTAATTTCTTTATCTGTTAAACGAAAATCTTTTCATCTCGTCAGTTAGATGGTAAGTAAATATTTGTTTTTATTAAAACTAGTCAAATTCTCTTCTAGAAATTATTTGAGATGGAAAGCCTTTGCGTCATCTATTATTAATTCTATTTTTCTTTTCTTATGCTTAATTTTTTATTGTCATCTCTTTAAAAACAAAAATGTTCAATTTACGATATGAATAGCTGAAATTCAGACGTTATGATTATTTTAAAATAGGTGTCAATTTAATTTGCATTAAAAAACTGTTTGTGAAAGTTTACGCCTCATTGACGGCTTGTCTATGTAACTCCTATAGAAGAAATGTCATAGCGTTACTTTTTTTGCTCACTTTGTTTTGACTATAACTCCGAAGTTAAACGCCGTAAAGAGCTCAGAGATGTTTTGAATTATAGAAAAAACTGCTTTCTACATTTTGAGATCTGTTCAGACTCTAGGTAACCTATCCTCATAAAACTGTAATCAAAATGCTGAGATCTACATCTTTGGTTTCAATTCTTAAAAACCAGGTCTCAGAAAAAAGCAAAAACAGGTCAAAATGAGCAAAAACAGTTACACTGTGACATCTCTGCCATATGAGTTACATAGACAAACCGTTGAGTCAAGACAGTTCTATAGTTTAATAAAAGCTTAAATTTGTTTTGTATTAGTATTTTCGTTTATCTATTCAAACAACAAAAAAATACGTTTGTTTTTATGTTTTGATTTCCTTTTTTTCATGTTGATGATTCATTTGATGTAGAACAGTAAATACACGTAGAGTTTGATAGGAAGAGTAATAAATGAAACTATGTATTCACATGGACAACGAATCGTATGGATTTGTTGACGTATGTAGTAAAAATGCCTAGCTAAAATAATGTGTAAGTATGCAAAAAGGCGAGAGAGAGAGAGAGAGAATTCAATATAAAGAGGAAGAAAACATGACTTTTTTAAACTTGAAAGAAGTTTTTAAACGGGATTGTCTTTGTTCTGACCAAGAAAGTTCGAGATGAGAAGCAGAAGCATAGACCTTATAATCGACGTCTATTAATTATAATAAGATGAGGGTTCGAGAACTATTCCCAGCATGTCGTTCTAATCACACTATCGTGAGTTATTTGTAATATAGAGGGAAGTTAAAACAAGACAGATTTTACAAGGAAAGGTGGATTTTTAATTGCGTTTCTGCTGATTATCGTAAAGTTGTATTATATGACTTCTACCTTTTTTGTTTTTAGAATAGCCAATCGTCAATGCATTATGTTCCGTCTTCTCCACCGATTAATAATACAGCATCTGCACCGTTAGCGCCCACACCGCTTGCAATTCATAATTCTTTAGCAACCGTTCAAACAACCGTACCATCACAATCGATAACTTCATCATTGCTAACAACTTCAAGTGTATCACAAATATTAAACGATTACAACGATGATTTAGGAACAGATGATGTGAGTATTACGTAAATGGAATAATATATTTTCTCATTTTGTTTTCTCTTTTAGCTAAGCACTGTTATGAAGGCAGCATGGGATCCACATCATTGTGCAGATTGGGATCAAGAACAACCAAATGCAACATGTATTGCAAGAATAAAGCGGTACGTTCATTTTCAAATACCTGATAGTTCGATTTTTAACTTTTGTAAATAAAAAGTTTGTTCAAAATAAAGTGGAACATGGAATATGATAAGCATTCAAGGATGAAATCGAATTGTGTAGTGTAGTGTGTTTATGCATCTAGTCTTAGAGTCTCTTGTACCATTTATTCGTTTATCCATTCTTTTAGAGATATAATGAGTGTTTTTCGTGATCCCCCTCCAGGCATGTTTATCGGTTAGTATATCTCTTATGTTTTTTTTCTATTTGAACTCGAGTTTTTTCGTTACAGCACCGTCTCCCGATAATATAACAAAAGTAAGTCACTTGTAAATACGGATGAATAAAATAAGATTACAAATGTTTTTATGTTTAGATTCATGCACTTATTGTTGGTCCATTTGATACACCATATGAAGGTATTTGTTTTTAGCATATTTTACTCTCGATCTGAACACGTCTATGTTTTACAGGTGGATTCTTTTATTTCCTTATTCGTTGTCCACCTGATTAGTAAGTGAAAAAGAAATGTAATAGTTTCATTTTGAATAAAATAATTTTCTCTAGTCCAATACGTTCACCAAGAGTGAAATTGATGACTACTGGCAATAATACAGTAAGATTTAATCCTAATTTATATCGAAATGGCAAAGTTTGTTTAAGTATACTAGGGTAAGATATTCAATAGGAAGTAAATCTTTTATGTATATATATTTTCTTTTTTATCTTCTAGTACATGGTCTGGTCCATCATGGAGTCCAGCACAATGTATATCATCATTATTAATATCTATTCAATCATTAATGAGTGATAAACCTTATCATAATGAGCCGGGTTTTGAACATGAACGAACAACGGGTGATAGTAAAGTCTATAATGATATAATTCGTCATGAAACATTACGTGTGGCTGTTTGTGAAATGTTGGAAAATGAAAATTCTTGTCCAAAACAATTACGAGAAGTAATGATAAAACAATTTTTAGATTTTTATGATGTATATAGTGAAACATGTACAGAAAATTTGAATAAAGATGGAACACAAATGATTGATCCATTTGGTGATCGTCGAGGTTTATATGAATATGGTACGATATTGGCTCGTTTAAAAAAATTAAAAGCACGTTTTCAAGTTCAACACAGTGAAAAATCACAACAAAATAATAATCAGATTTCAGCAAAATCGTCTACGACAAAATGTCAACAATCTGATTCATTTATTCGACAACTTGAAGCAGAAGATCCAAATCGTCCATCAGACTATGGCGACATGGACGACATCTTTGGTATGTATATGACCACTTTTTCTCGAAAAACTACTGTCCATCCAAAAAGTCAGTAGGTGTGGATGTTTTTTGCATAACTCGAGAACAAAAAGAGATAGAGATCTGCGGTTTTCATCATTCGATAATCAAGACTTGAAGCTATCTTTCTACAAGCAAAAATAACTTTCGGAAAATTTTTCGAAGTCGGTTTTCCAGAGAATCTGTGGAAAACTAGGTTGTAACTGGACCACTTAACATAGCAATATATTAGCTTTTTTACATGGGTAGATACTCCAAAATATCATCTACAAAATGGAGGCTTAAGCTCTTGCGGTTTAGGCATTGCATCGGATTTCCTCAGTTTGACTCAGTCAGAATCGATGTCAGAATGTCAAAATATACTTTATTTATCTGCTCAATCTGATTCTGTGCTTAGGACTAGCAAAAAGTCTGCCTTGCGTTTGAAGATTTCTAGAAAAACTTGAGAAAAACTAAAGTATTCTCGATTGATTTCCAGAAGTTCCATTAAAGTCCACGATGTAGTGAAGATAAAATAAAGTATATCTTGACATTCTGATGTCATTCACATCGATTCTGACTGAGTTACGTATTTTCTAATTTTTGCATGAAAATGGGCTATTTCACCTAATATTGGTTTTCCGTAGACGTTTGAGTTTTTTCGAAAAACAAATATCGCCACAAGATTCAGCGTGGCCGATAACCCATGTTCCCATTCATGTTCAAGCTTTAAGTCTTGATTATCGAATGATGAAAACCGCAGATCTCTATCTCTTTTTGTTCTCGAGTTATACAAAAAATATTCACCCACTGACTTTTTGGATGGACAGTAGGTAAACTCTCTTGGCACTCAACGATCAGAATCTATAAACTAATTCAAGTCATATTTAAATGTTACAGATGAACCATCAGATATGGATGATGACGATGACGAAGAACAACATCCGGACGGAACTATGGACAGTGATAATCTAACTCCTTCGACAAATAAGACAGAGAATTCAACTGTATCTACTCTCAATACGTTATCTTGATCTTATGAGCAAAATGTTTATTCTTCGTATACATAACTCATAAACAGTTTTCACTGTAATTACAATCAATTGATGATGTTGTAGAAAAACGGTGGAAACAAACGTCTGAAAGAAACGAAAAAGCTCGACGATTGCCAACTATAGCATCTAAAATTGTTTTCTGTTCTTTGGTTGTTGTTCGCGTCTTTATTTATTTATTTATTTGTGATTTGTTCTAATATATGGCTGGTGATTTTCACTTTATTCATGCACAGCCCGTCTATTTGTTTTTTTTAAATATGTTTTATTTCATACTACTGTACAAAGTTAAAAATTTTCTTTATGTCCGCAATTTTTTGATCTTATAACTTCATGAAGACAACAAAAATAATACAATACAAAAAAAGATCGTGATTTTTCTTCTTTACATTATCACTTATCATAATTCGTTCTATCTATTGACATACAACTGTTTTGAGATTCGACTATTTTCCAAGTCTTATCATACATCCGAAAAACTAAACATCAAGTTTCATTTTTTAATTTTTGTATAGCTTAAAAGCTAAACCTTCTTTAATGTTTTTCAAACGTTTTATACATTAGAAAAACAAGCAAAACAGAACATCGAAGAAGAGAATATTCGATCTTCATCTACATATATAACATATTAAAAACTTGATCATCTTTGAATAATATTATTTACAAATCCACATAAATCGTCAAGTGACGATAGTTTTCTTCTTGTTTCCAAAAAATAATGCTAATCTACATATTCAAAAAGGTACGTGCCAACGTTGAATGTCAATGTTTAGTCTCTGACTCATACTTAAAATGAACAGCAATCATACACCAGCTATACTACTATTATTTTCATTCACTCTATTCTTCGATGTATACACATTTATAAGGGCACATTGCAAATCAAAATGGTTGTCTGGTAATTTGTGGTTGGTTCATATCATATTGGGAAATAAAAAATATTCAAAAATGGTAGTATACAAAATTCTGGTCAACAATATTCAATTCAATTTACAATCGAAAAATTCTTAAATTTTCTTAGTGTTAAAAATTCAATTTTTTTTTAACCTATTCGTAGGACTTTTGAAAAGTGAAATCCAAAAGTAAATACGTCCGACCTCACGAATATAAGGTCGGAGGTTCTATTCCATTATTCGTCTAAATGTGATTTATGTTTTCTTGCTATTTGTTTTTCTCCTTTTCTGTGTGCATTAGAAACGAGCGATAAAAACAAGCAATATTTCACGTAATAAAAATTGTTTTTTTTTTTACGATACTTCTAATATATTATATCTATTTGGTATTTTCATTTCGAACAACAGAATCTTTATGAATTAGAGTCTACATACACAAAACTGCGTTCACTATTTGCATTATAGAGACATAACTAACAAATATGCTAAAATCCAGGTGGATGTTTCATAAAAAGTAAGTCTAGACTTAAGTGTTTAAAGTTAACACGTAAGTGTATAAAATGAAGACTTAAGTCGAGCATTAAAGAATTTTTATGAAACATCTTCCAGAATTAACTTGTGGAATGACAATCATTATCTCTATCTGAAAAAACTTTAAGAATACTGCCTAGCAATATGTTAGATACAACGTTGAAACATTTTTTCTTGCTTCAGTGTACAGATTTTAATTTTTTTCTGTCGTAAATAGAGAATGTGTGTGAATCAGAAAATATCTAATACATAAACATGACTTCTGAAGATCAAACTGGTTAGAATTACGGAAGAGGCAGCGATTTATCTAGAGGAACATTGTCCCTACAAATTTTAGGAAATTATCTCTAAAACTTTGTGATCACAATATTCGTCACCCCTCGAAAACTTTGATTCGCCCCTTCGGAAACAAAAACATAGATAAATCAATGAAAAGAGATATTTTTGACATAACTTTACTTTCAAAGGTTTTGTACAGTCAGATATTTTGAATGGAAGCGTTTTACATTATACGTACATGATTTCCATTTAGACAGATCAGTATTCTTATTTAATCTATTCATCTTATTCTCTCTCTCCCTCTCTCAGTTATCCCTGAAAAAGTGACTAAAAAATTGTGTTTATCAATATTTGAATGATTCTCTTTCTTTTATTTTAGATGGGAGCTTACTTATCTGTAAGAGAAATGTTTAATTTTGTTTTGACATGATAATTTCGTATCTTTTGTTTTGCTATTTAGTCGCCTATCTGCGACAAAGAATCAATTGATGGTTCAAATAATCGATTGTCATTTGGAGCCAGTAGTATGCAGGGATGGCGGATGTCTCAAGAGGTATGAATTCAATTTATTTCTATTATTTAATACTAACTATTTAATAATTACTAAAACAAAATATTTCTTTTAGGATGCTCACAATGCTATATTAGATTTTGATCCTGGTACAGAAACATCATTTTTTGCTGTATACGATGGACATGGAGGTTCAGAAATCGCGTTGTACTGTTCAAAACATTTACCTGATTTCATAAAACAGTTAGATTCATATCGTGAAAATCGTTTATCTGACGCATTAATTGAAGGTTTTATGAAATTTGATGCTGTCTTACTTGATCCACATGTTAAAGAAATTTTACAAGATCTGGCCAGTTCAAAAGATAATGATCAGCAACATCAACATCCATTCACATTTGAAGAACGAGATTTAGATGAAGTTGATGTGAATGAAGATGATGGTAAATTTTGTTTTTGATGAAATGATAAATTTGTTTTTGTATAATAATTTCCTTTTTATTCAGTTGGAGTTGAAGAGGCCAAACTTTTAAAACGTGATGCAGATGTACCCATCGAGGAATTATTAAAACGTTATGGTGCAACTCAAGAAGCAACTAAAAATGAATTTATTAAACATTTTCATTCACCTAAAAATCTTGTTTCATCCAGACGAAAAATACATTCAACATTTCCAGTATCTTCGAATGGTAATGACAATGAAGAGGATAAACTGAAACAGTCAACATTGAAAAAATTACATGATCTACGTCAAAATGTTTTAAATGAAGATGAAATTGAAGAACAGCAACCGAACAATGAGAGTGATGACAATGCTGTCAGTTCGACAACAAATATCGAAAGTAAAGAGAAAATAGAATTATTAACGACAACAAATGATGAAAATATTATAGCTGATGATGTACTCGATCATAAAATTGCTCAGCAATGTGATACAACAGATGACAAACAAGATGAAACTGTTTTACAAACGAAGAAAACAACTATAGATGATGATAATTCAAGTACAAAAACAAATGTAAGTTGACTTTGAATTATCTCATAGAGAAAGGGTGTGTATTGGTTGAACTATATTGTATTTTTGTAAATTTATTTTAGTTATATTGAATTGAACATTTTTTTTTTGTCTAGGATTCGGCTGAGCAACCATCTTCAAGCGGTGTTTCGTCTGCAAGTAGTCCAAGTAATTCAGGTCGTTTAAAAAAATCATCCACAACAACAATTACATCTGCCACAACATCACTGACACATCATTTGCTCGATGATTCAGATGATTTTGATGTAGAAGAAGACGAAGATGATGATGAATATGAGTAAGGCTGTCGTTTCACTTTCTTGCATATCTAAAAGGTTTTCGTGTAACATTCGAAAAAATTTCATTTCTATTCTGTATGTTTTATGAAATCTCTACAACGTCGCATTTCTATCCGATAGTGACAAAAAGAAAATAAATATCTGCGTTACTAAACGGATGTATAGAGATATCTCTCTCTATCTATCAACCATATTCGATTGTCAAATCCTTTAAAAGAAACAATCGTTTGAACGTCTGCAATTTTCTCACATGTGTAATTGTAGGTTAAATATTAAAACTGTTACATTTTGATTTCAGAACAACAAGTGAAGAAGACGATGAGAATGATGACGAAAAAGAAGAAGATGAAGTAGAAGAAGAAGAAGAAGAAGAAGAGCATGCCGAGGACAAAGATCAAAACGTGACAGAAAAAAAGCAGTTAGCAATAAAGAAAAAATTTTTTTGTGGTGTGTAAAACCCGAAAATCTTAAAAGAATTAGAAACAAAGCCTTACAGTTGCATCACGTAATGATGAATTCAGTGTTGAAATGTGTTGCAAGAGTTATGCGGTAAAAAGTGCTATTTCTCCCTTTGAATAAATAATGAGAGTAGTTATAATCATTCACATAGATCAAGATCTTTTTCTCATTTGATACCAGACAGTTTTAATCTAATTTATCAATGATTTTTACTATGAGATATTTTTCAACTCATTTATTAGTTGAAGATATGGAAAATGATGATGAAAACGAATCTTCAGCATCTGAAGATGAAGATGACGACGAATTATCTAATCCTGATTTATCAAAAATTTTAGATATGAATGGTGATGTAAGTTAAATTTTTACTTTTCTCCAATAAAATAAATGTCAAAATGTTCTATTTATAAATAATGGTTATTTTTAGCCTGGTTCAACGAGTGGTTGTACGGCTGTTGTAGCAATATTACGAAATAAACAATTGTATGTAGGAAATGCTGGTGACTCACGTTGTGTAGTATCACGTGATGGTAAAGCAATTGAAATGAGTACAGGTAACAAATAATCTACTTAGGGCATACCAAAAGTAGTGGCAGTGGTATTTTTATCCCTTATAGAAAGGTTAAAGAAACTTTCTTTTTATATAGTCTGATAGAGAAAAGAATGTTCTATTTTTCTATGCTATTTGATCAT